CCCCACCGCCTCCTCCATGGCGGCTTCCCGGCCTCAAGGGCTGGAGCATCAAGCATCTCCCGGACAGGTGGTCTCGTCCCCCCGCTCACAGCCACTGCAGAGAGAAGCCCTGGCTGAGGCTGAGGCCGAGGTCGCTCACGGTGAGAACCTGCGGGAGGAGACATTTTGGGGTACAGACGGACATGGAGCATCCTTTCCCCTACCCAGCTTGGCTGAGCTCCACTCCCCCTGAACCCCGACACGGCAGGAGAGCCACCCCAGAGTCCCAACCCACCTCCTCGGCCACCAACCCTGTGACAAGGGCTGGGGGAGGAGGGATGGAGATCCCCAGGATGGGGACACCCAGGACAGGGCACCCTGAGATGGGGCCATACCTGGTTGTCCAGGTAAGAGAAGGGCTTCTCCTGGCCATTCAGGAGGACCTTGCTGGGTGGCTCCCGCACCCCAAAGATGCTCAGTGTGCCAATGGTGACCTCGGTGGCCTCGGTGCTGGCGTGGAGCACGGTGGAGGTGAAGATGTTCTGCAGGAGGGGACAGCATAAGCTCAAGGTGGCCAGGTGCCACGGGACCCCCACTCCTGCCCTCCCCCCCGTGTCCCACCTGCGTGACGTTGAACACTAGGTAGGAGTAGCTGCCCCGCTCAAAGGTGTCCAGGCTCTCACCATCGTCCCAGAAGAGGTCCCCCCAGGCAGTGGCACTCGAGGACAAGGCCACGATGAGGTGCAGGGGATTCCCTCGGGTCGCCTCACTGGTGATCCCTGGTTTCTGGGGTTCAAAGACATGGGTGCTGTAGGCTTGCGAGCACCCAGGATGGGGATCTGGGAGCTGAGGTGCTGGTGGGAACACACATGCTGTGGACAGCTCCTGGGGAGGTGACAGGTGGGTGCTCACCTGGGTGGGCAGGATGGAACCCTCCCGGACATGCAGGTTGAGGTGCTCCAGGGGGGCTGACATCTTCAGCATCTCCCCGCTGCTGTTCACTGAGGAGCCCTGGGCAGGCAGCAAGAGACATGGGTGTGAGGGGGCCAGGGGCACAGTGGTGGGCTCAGGCATGGGTCTGGGGAGCAGCCATCCCCACCCCTTCCTCCATCGGGGCTTGCTGGGCTCAGCTGCGTCTTCCCACCCGCAGCCCCAAGATGGTTGAGCAGGGACCACCCGGCCCCCGGCCAAGCCCCGCGGTGCTCCTCACCGTGTAGAAGTCGTACCACACGCCTCGGGGGACGTAGCCTGTGACCGAGTCCACCCCAGGCTCCAGCACCGGCGTCACCAGCAGGCTCCGGCCCCACAGGAACTGCCTGTCCAGACCCAAGGTGGCCACATCCCGGGGGAACCTGCGGCAGGATGGAGATGCCGCTTGGATCGGCTGCTTCTCCGTGATCCAGCCTAAGCATCTCCCCAGCTCCTGGTGGGGATGCTCTTACTCAAAGAACAAGGGCCGGGCGACGGTGTCCCCTTGCAGGTGAGCACGGTGGAACAGGGTGTAGAGGAAGGGCAGGAGGGAGTAGCGAGTCAGCAACACATCCTTCATGGCCGTACTTTCCGTGGGGCTGAACACCGTCGGGTCCTGGGCCTGGGGGATATGTGGGGAGTCAGTGGCTGCCCCATCCCTGCCGGGCATCCCCACTGCCCTTGCCCTCCCACATCCCGCATCCCACATCCCGCACCCCGCACCCCGCACCCCACCCCTGGGATGCCTCCCACCGGGCACGCTGCCCTCGACCTTCTCGTTCTGGGTGTTGTGGTTGCGGGCGAAGGGGTAGAAGGCGCCGAGCTGCATCCAGCGGGTGCACAGCTCCTCTGAGGTGCTGCCGGAGAAGCCACAGATGTCCGCCCCAACCAGTGGGATGCCAAAGAGGCTGAAGCTCAGCAACCCTGAGGGCAGGGATGGTCAGCAGGGCGCAGGGAGTTTTGGAGATGTCTCCAAACAAGCAGAAAGCTCGATGGAGCTGGGAGTGCTGGTAAGGGGGTTCTGCATGCAGTCCGTGCCACCCACCTGGGATGGAGTAATACATGTCCTTCCACTGGCTCTGGTTGTCACCCAGCCAGTGCCCCGAGTACCGGCCCTGGCTGGGGAAGGTGGAGCGGGAGATGACGAAGGGGCGCTTCCCCCGGATCCTGATCAACGCGCTGGAAGATAATGGGGAGAGCCAGGGGCAGGAGGTGAGAGCAGCCCACCAGGAGTTCGCCTTATCCCTCAGGAGTGGAGGGAGACGTCTGGCCCCACCACAGGCCTGCAGTGCCTGAGAGTTGGCCCGAGCGGTTCGGGGAAGGCTCAGCGCCAGGACCGGCCTCGTCCACCCATCCCTCCCGGAGTAGCACTGGCTCCACTCCTCTGCTGGGTTATTCCCATACTGGAGGCTGTGAGCAGCCAGAGTACCCCCGCTTTGCGTCGGGCACTCGGTTCCGTGCCCTTTTCCTACACAGCCCTGAGCAGCAGGATTTTGTCCCATCCCATCCCCAGGCCGGCAGGAAGCAGGATGCTCGGGTACCTCGCCGTGGCTTTGGCTTCCATCAGCCCATAGAGGTTGTGGAGGTTGTAGTGTACTGAGGCTTTCTGCTTCGCCGAGGCACACACCGTCTTCGCAGAGAGAGAATCGCCCAGCACGGCTGCCAGGAGGGAGAGCCCCCATTGGCACGTGGCTGGGGGGGAGTGCAGGGGACGTGGACCCCCCCCGACACGCTTGCTGGCTCTGGGCCAGCCCTCCTGCACACAGAAGCCAGCCATTGCTGCCAACCCAGCACCCCAAGCTCACGCAGATGGTCCCACCCTGCACCCTGACATGGCCCTGACAAGCGTGCAAGGCTTGGGCATGGATACTGGCACACACAAGTAGGAAGGGAGATGTCCAGGGTGTAAAATGGAGACACGATGTCTCTTAAAAATGGTTTTCTCCCATAGCACTCAGCTGCCAGCGATCTCAAAGCACGTGGTACCTATGAGCCCAGCCTTGTATTTCATCTCCTTCCTTACCCGGGGTGTATGGTGGGCTGTCGAGCTCTCCTGGGGGGCAGCCGTCTTCAGACCCATCCATGAAGTTGGATGGTTCATTCATGTCCTAAGGAAAGAAAATCGCGGGAGGTTTTGGGCATTAGTTGATAGACCAGGAAAAGCTGCATTTGAGGGACAGATGACCCTGCCAGGGCCAGCGAGAGACATGCACCAGGCGTGAGCTGAGCTGCCAGCAGGGAGTGACCGGAGGGCAAGGAGGGACTTACGATCCAGAGGCCGTCGAAGGGCACATGGGCATGGAAGCGCTGCAGGTTCTCCAGCCACCACTGGTGCGTGTCCGGGTTGGAGAAGTCTGCAAAGGCAGTGAAGCCGGGCCAGACCTGCAGGGAGACCACAAAACTGTGGGTTCGGTGGGCAGGCAGCTCATGGGGGGCTGGCTGTGGCAAACAGGGTGCCAGGGGCTGTGGGCATGCCAAAGGACCGGGGGGGTGAGTGCTTTGAGTCCTGGATGCTGCACATACAACATCCCTCCTGCTTCCGTGGTACCCAGGAGCCTCGGGGTGCTGGGGACACCCCCGCAGCCGGGCGAGGGGCACAGGGCCAGGCGGGCAGCAGTGGCTTACGGAGCAGCTGCTCTGCCTACGCTTGCACAAGCCCTGACACCACCCAGGCCAGGGCACATCAGGGAAGAGCCATGATTTCTCCACACCCTGCCTCACTCCAGGAATTTTAGCAGATTCATTTTTCCCCATGTTTTCAGGCTACATTAAAAGCCCCCTCCTTGTAGATGGCAAGGGAGAGCCGGCGGGAGCAAACGGCTGGGAAAGGAGGGGACAAACTGGGAGGGAACTGCTGTGGAGCAGATCTGGAGGCATGTGTCCATTGTGGACAACCTCCCCTCACCCCAGAAACAGGAAGGCAAAGAAATCAGATGACCGGCCTCGAGTGGCACCACCGACCCCGTTAAGCTCATATGACTTCCACGGGTGCTTCTGCCGGGGCATGGGCTGGCTCCTGGGGCTGGTGGAGATGCCAGGAGGTGACACGTGAGGCTGAGGGCTGAGCCAGGCTCTGGCAATCATCCCAGAGAGGTCCTATGGCTGCTCAGCTTTCCCTCCGGTGTGAGGGATGAAATCCCGACCCTGCTATTGCCCAACCCCACAGGACTGGGATTTCCCCCCGGAGCTCCTCACCTGCCCGATGAGCGGCTGCCCTTGGGTGGTGTTTAGGAACAAGCCCCGTCTCAAGCCTTCATCGAAAGGCCAGTAGGAGCCATTAGGGTTGGTGCTGCTGATGCCGGGATCCTGGGGACGGAGCAGAGGGTTAGCGCCTTTCGCAGCAGACGGCGGCCCCTTCCCCCTGCCAGGCCGGGGTGATTCAGAGAAGATGACAACCCAGACGGGGTCAGCCAGAGCCCACACACGGCGGCTGTTTCCCCCAAGGGGAACAGAAACTTGCTTCAACACTTCCAGGCGTGTTTTCTAAAATGCCACTTCTGCAAGTCCCCAGGACCCGTTAAGGCATTTTGGGGAGGGGGGGACAAATATAAGAAGTTTTGCACTTATGCAAGAAACATCAGGTCATGGCCGGGCTTGGACTACAACGGGGAGTTCAATGGAGAGGGAACCCAACCTTTTCTTCCCCAGGACCCCCTGGTCCCCACTGCCCCCAGCAAGCAGAACCTGCACCCCCTTTCCTCGCAGAGGGAAAAAGAGAGATCACAGCCGGGTCATGAGATCCCAGCACTCGTGGGGATGTGGGAGCACCCAAGCCAAGCACCCACGAGTTAAACAGCCTGACCCACAGTTCCTTCATGGTTTCACCCATGGGGGACAGGGGCATCCTTGTACTCCCGCAGCAGACAGGAGCACAGCACGAGAACCTGGCCTGTGTCTCCGCTGTCTCTGCATTAGGGGGATTTCCAGCAGCAGTTTACAGCTGCCTGCCCAGCACTGGGGACCGACCTCGGATAAAAATCCCCAGGGCCGGGGATGACCAGTTGGGACCACGAGCATCCCTTACGCCTCAGCCTTGCATCCTGGCTCTGCAGCAAAGACAGCACAGGGGGAGAGGAAGGGGAGTACCAAGATCATAACGTAGTGCTGCCCGTGTTTGTGGAGGTCTTCCACCAGCGAGGGGAGGGAGGCGAATTTCCATGGATCGAAGGTGAAATCCCGGTACCCGTCCATGTAATCGATGTCATTCCACTGTGTATCCTGCGGGACAGAGGCTCAGGGATGGGTGACAGAGTCCGGACCCTGTCTCCACAGGTCTGGGGGGTTACCTGGGGGATCTGGTAGTTCCTCATGGCTCTCACGGTCTGCCAGGTCTCATTGCTGGATCCGTAGCCCCAGCGGCAGAGGTGAAAGCCGAGCGCCCAGAGGGGTGGCATGGCTGGGAAACCTGCAGCGAGAGAGCAGAAGCACGGATGGGTTGCCCTGAGACAACAGGAGCATCTCAAAAGGATGGGAGGGGAAGGGGAGAAGGCAGAAAGGAGGTGACGGCAGACCCCTGATGTGCTGGGAGGGCTAGGGATGGTGGTGAAACTGGGGTGAGACAGGGACGGGGGTGCGGGGAAGGTGCCCACAGATGGCCACGTCAGGGTGCAGGCACTTACCTATCACCTGCTGGTACTGCTGGATGACCATGTTGGGATCAGGCCCCAGGAAGATGTAAAAATCCAGCACCCCCCCGATAGTCCTCCAGGTCAGGCCTGGAGCAGGCTGCAGGGCCACCTCTTTGTAGAAGGGGGAAGAGAAAAACCAGTGAGAATTGGGGAGCAACCCCCAGACCCCGACCACCATGGCATGGACCAGGCCACACCACATGCAACGCTCAACCTCCGGCAGGGAAACGGGGAAATCCCTGCCTTTCGCTCAGCGGATGCTAAATGGGCATCTGGAGGCTTAAATCATTGCAGCCCAGGGAGATCGCTGGTTTATGCAGGGAGAAAGCTCACTACCTTAAAAATTTGCTCTTTAAGCCCAAAGCTGCACCGTTCTCCTGGCTTCCACTTAAAGACCAAGCACGTGCATGGCTGTCCTTCACGTCCTCCCCCCAGATCCCCTCCTAAGTGAATTGAGAGCTACTTGTACAAGCGAGTATGTGGGAGCAAGGGCTTTCCTGGGAAGAGCTTTTCACATGAACAAGCCCTCGAACCTCAGCTCAGGTGGTTGCATCTCCCGCAAGCTTCCACTCAGGAGCATCGCTCCAATAAAGCAGAGCGCAGCTGGAGCTACGAGAGCCCCAGCGCGTGCTGCATCAGCCCAGCTGGCTACAAGCAGCGGCTGCTGGGAGGGACGGGTGGTCACCCGTGCCGTCCACGACACAGCAGGAACCCGCGGGAGCTGCTGTGCCATCAGCTGGCACACACAGGAGGATCCCATGGCGCAGCCAGCGGAGCACAGCTGGGAAGAGCGCGGGTGGCAGACGGCATCCCCGGCTGCGCCCCAGCCGTGCCATGCCGCCGGGCCTGGGGGCAAGGCTGTTTTGGGCGGAGAGGGAACGGGCACAGACCCGCACGCGAGGGACTTGCTTTTCTGACGGCAACTTGGCAGCTGGGCGTGTGGTTAAACTGCTCGGCAGTTGCTAAAGAGCCTCGCTGTAGCCAGGAAACAGATGGCTACGCTCAATAACGAAGCCATCAAACCACATCTTTCCCGTTTATGGCTTCCTCTCGCCCCAAGTTCCCAAACTGGCAGCTCCCATCTGTCCCCACCTGCCAGGTCATCCTCCAGGGACAAGCCAGCCGGCATCCCCTGGGACACCTACCCATTGCGTTGCTGTTGAGGAGGAAAACCCCATGAGCATCTCCACCCTCCTCCATCAGCAGGTAGAAGGGGTGAGCGCCGTAGAGGTTGAATGATTCCTGCAAGAAGAGGTGCTGGGTGAGAGAGCAGCTCCTGGGCAGAGTGGCAGAGCCCCGTCTCACCGGGGGCCAATAAATGGCCCCGAGTTGCATCTGCTGCCACCACCTAAACAGGCATCTGTCATCCCCTGTGGAGGACACAGAGAGGGATGAGGATGGTTTCGGAGCTGGTGCTGAAGGCCATGGGAGGCTGCTTCTTCCTTACAGCTTGGGGGCTGCTACTGAGCTGGGCTGGGCAAGGGGGAAACCTCCTGCCTCGCCACAACCTGTTGCACGAGCGGCAGGGTGGAGCGGAAAACACCCGGGGCCCTCGGAGTGCCAAGAGCGTTTTGCAATTGCTCTGAAATCCTCCCCAGCACATTTCTGCCCATTGGCTTCGACCACCCCCTGCCTCTCCCAGTGCTGCTGCCCACCCCCCTGCCATGTTTTCCCAGGGCTTGTCCAATGCACTGGAGAGCGGCACCCCCATCCTTGCCCCCCGCAGCACCACGGGGAGGGGGGAGACGGTACCGTGGGAGAGACGTCGCGTGCCCACAGCGTGAGGGTGCTCCAGTCCAGGCTGTGCAGGAGGGTGCCACGGTGCTCCCCCAGCCCGTAGAGGAACCTGGATGGGAGCGATGTGGCTATCTGCAGAAACTGGTCAGCAAAGATCAAAGGGGCCACGGTGGTGTTGAGCCTGCCGGGGTGACACCGAGGGAGAGTCAAGAAGGGATGCTGGGATCCATCTGGATCCATTTGCCCACCAACAACTGACCCCTTCCCTCTTGAAGCATCCCAAAGGCCAGCAGGGCAGCATCCCACCTTGCATCCAGCCCCAACACTTTGGTCCAGGTGGCAAATTTGGGTCCGGTTGGATACAAGGCACAGCCCAAGCCTGAACCAGCCTGACCCAGTGCGGCACAGCCTTGCCTTTGACACCACAAGTTTCCACCCAGGTTATTATTAACCACCGAGGCATGCAGCGGTTGGGTTTCTCAGCCTGTCGTTGCTGATAAGCAGCTCCCAAGTAAAGTATGGACCACAGGCGCCAGCAAACGAGGAGGAGGAAAGGATGGGATCTCAAAACACCCTGGCCAGGCCATACATTGACCAGCCCCTGGTGCGCACCAACAGCTTAGTGCACAGAGCCATGGAGGTGACTGACAGCAGTGCAGCAAAGCCACCTGCAGTCCTTTTCCACAAAAAGCCTGGAGCTGGGGGTGTCCCTGCAGTTTGGACAGCCAGGGAAACCAAAAAGCAGGGTGAAACAGGCAAAGCCACAACCCTTCAGTGGCCGTTTCCCCGAGCCACCAGGTCGCTTATCGGTGACATTCCAGGGACCTGCACACTGTTTGGCTGCTGCAGGACCTGGCAAGGAATTTGGGCACTGGGAGGTTTTTGGAGAGGTGCTGATCCCACCCAGCCCTGCCACGGTCACATCAAGCACGTGGCCAGCCCACGGGGCTGGTAAGCCACGTGCTGCCGCATCCCCATGTAAGCACTGCTGGAAAGATGAAGACAAAGAGTAATTATTGGCTGGAGATCCCGCAGTGTGGTTTTCCCTAAGAAAAAAATTCCAGGAAGCGTGCTGGAGCCTGCCTAGGGTGGGATGAGCTTTCCCCCACCCACTGTGGGATGCAGAAGAGGTGGGTTCTTACAGCACTGTCCCTGTCGCCCTGCGCCGCAGCACCACCCCAAAGGGGTCCCAGGAGAAGTCCAGGCTGTAGATGGGGTTTTCTGCTCTCTTCATCACCCGGGGAACCTCGAGGGGAACCTCATACCGCGGGCTGGCCACATCCGTTATCTGCAAAAGGGAGAAAACACGCTTTAAAGACCAGCAAAGCAAGGGGGCAAAGGGTTAGAGGTGCTCATTGAGGCCACATACAGCCATGCCTGGAGCACGGTAGCTTCCAGACTCGGTCTGAGCAGGGGACGGTCACCTATGGGATGGAGGGTGCAGGGGTGCAGCAGCGTGGCCACGAGCTCTGGAGGGCAGCCAGTGGGGAGCTCACCTTGATGTGCAGCCGCGTGTCTGTCTCAAACTCCACGTCCAGCCTCAGCATCTCGATGTCCCGGGGGTAATAGGCCTTCTTCCTCCGCACCAGCAACCCCACCATGCCCAGTGCCGTCTGGTTGAGGCTCTCCAGGGTGTAGCTGGGGAAGTCAGGGGGGTAGAAGCACCAGGGTACCCCCCGCTTGCCCCCTGCTGGCAGGGGGCTCTCGATGAAGCAGCACCCCCGGCTTTCGCAGAGCTCCTGGGTCACCACCACGTGCCGCTCTGGGTAGCAGTCAAAGCGGTGGCTTTCGGGTACCAGGAGACATTTGGGGGGCAGCGCAGGTCTGGGCCAGCCCCCTGATACTTGCCGCAGCACCCAGACAGTGATGGTGCTCAGCAGCACGGTGGCCACGAGCAGCCCGCTGCCCACCCACCACGGGGCCAGCTTCCCACGGCCGGCGGGTATCGGTGCGGCCCCTTCCTCCTCCCCCCGGCATGCCGCTGGCTGTGGCACGGCCGTCGTCAGCTTCTGGTACGACTTCATCGTCCTGGTGCTGGAGCAAAGGGGAGATGGAGGCAGATGTGAAGGAGTTGGAGCGGGAGAGCTCACCCGAGCCTCGAGGACAGCTTCCCCGCTCCTGACGCCTGTGGTTCAGGCAGAGCCTGACCGCCTCTGCCCGCCTCTGCACCTTGCACCGTGATGTCTGTGGCCTCAGCTAAGATGCATGCAGCAAACTCTGCAAAGGATGGCTTTGCCAGGGTCAGGTGGTCCTGACCCTGCTGGAGCGGGAAGAGATGCTGCCAACAACTCTCCGGCAGCCCCAAGGGTCAAAGCGTCGTCCGCCTGAACCCCACCTGCTGTCTGGGGGTGGCAGAGCGACCCCTCAAGGAGTTTTTCCCAGCTCTGAATTTATAGGCTGCAGTGTTTCTGGAAGCTGCAAGCAAAACCAAGCTCGCTCTGCCCATCGGAGCAGAGCCGTGGTGCTGGGAACTGTGGCTCTGAGGTGCAGAGCATCCTCTACTTCGAGCATCCTCTGTCAGCGCCCAAAACCCTGAGTCAGAGGTTTTAGCCCTGGGGAGAGCTGGGTGAGGGATGGCAGGGAATGTGCCGTAAGTCTTTGCCTCTCACTGATGAAATCTGATTTTAACGACCTCTCCGGCAAGCATCTCCCGGACTGTAAGCAAAGGAGACCCCCACGCTCCTTCTGAGTGCAGGGAGCAATCTCTGCACCTTAAATAAGAGACAGAACTTTCTTCTCGCCATCTCCT